AATAAACCAAGCCACATGGAAAGCTTGCCCAAACCTCTCACAATTGTCAGACCTGGGAACCCAGCAACCACAGTCTTCTGCCCTCCAGATAGCTGTGCCATGGTCAGGAAAGAGGTCTGTTGGCCTCGGAAGCTCTTCTGGCCGAACAACTCGCATACATGAGGATATCTCATGCTCAGCCCCAAACCTGTGAAGGAGACCTCAATCCGAACTCCACGTTTTGAGCCATCATCCTGGTGGCATGCTATTGCAAAGCTTGCCAACCACTGACAAGTAAGGTGCAGGTATTGGAGTGGCTCACCAACCTCTTCTATGCGAAAGGGCCAGTGTGAAGAGAGTACAGTAACTAGCAAATGTGCATCATTAAAAAGAAACAGGAGCTTGTGATCAAAAGCGCAACTTTCAGTCAGTCCTCGCGTGGCGTCTCCTGACTATGACAAGTACACCAATACCCTGTATGACATCATGCAACACCCTCTTGACAAACCCATGATCCAGGAAAGTTGCTTGTTTCGCAGAATTATGAAGCCGCCCCTATAACTTATATAACTGTGAAAGCAACCGTCCTGGATGATAGAAGACCTTGTAAAGCTGCCAACTGTTCAGTTAGTCACCGACTTCAATCCGACCACGGTTTGTGCCTCATCCAGTACCTGGTCATTGGCATTGACCATCTGTAGTTTCCCCACACCGCCAGGCACCTGTGAGGATTGCATGACTTGTGCCGAGCCTTCTTGTGTTCGGCAAAGAAGCGTTGCTGAATCAAACCCTCTAGGCACGCAGCCAAATGAGCAAAAACATCCCGGAAGTGCATATCCTCAGCGGAAAAAACATGCAGGGAGACACCGTAACAGGTGATGAGCGGTAGTACCGCTATCAAAACCAATATACAATATATATATATATATGTATAGTTATATATTTATATACTATATACAGGTGTACTTGCTTGTGATCTTTCGTTGTTCAGGTGCTGGAAACTGCCACTACAAGCTTGGCCTAGCTAAGGCTAGTGATGAGGAAATCGATTGTTTCCTCTTGAAGCTGCAGCAACAACAGCTAGGATGTATCGCCAGGATGGCTGACAAATAAAACGTTCTTGCAGGGAATGGACATATTACTATATAAGTTGTATTCATGCAACTGCCAGTTCAATTAATGTCGAGTTGTTTGTCTTTTTGGGAAACGGCACGCTTTGCTGAGCTCAAATCGACTCGTTCCAGCGTCTGCTTCAGAGTCTCATCCTTCCACAAGATTAATTGACTTTTCTCAGGCTCAACCACCAGTGACACCAGTGCCACAGTGGTCAGAGGGATGAAGCCAGAAATTGTGGATGGAAAATGAAGGATTTTCAATTGAGGATGGAAGAGCCAGAGTATACTTAGAAAGTTGAGCGTGGCTCTACCCGGCCTTCTGGGCGTCTACTGAGGCAATAAACCTGGCTTGTGCAACAAGCGGAAGCAAATATCTTCAGCAACAAACAGGATTGAAGGCATGGCACATCCAAGTTTCGGTGTCCAACATATTCCAACCATGGATTCAGACCTGCAAACAACGACAAGCATTCTACCCCTGTGCATGAATTACATTGAAACGTGGAAACTTGATTTCCATGCTGCCAACACCTCAGACCTCATTGGGAATGCATCCGCTTTTGCGTAATATAATAGATGTAATATATCAGCCCTGGAACGCTAGTCCTACAGGCAGGACACGTCCTTCTTGTTTTCTTGGTCAATTTATCCATGTTGAGAAAATGTAGAAATTGAAACTCCAAGCTCTGAAGCTCAGCCCAGAGCTAGTACTCAGTACACCGTACCATTCCGTACCATTCCGTACCATTTGCCTGAAGTTCAAAGGCCCTCCTCTTTGCGCCACAACCCCTCCACACCTTTCAACCGCTTCTCGAGACTCGTCAATGACAGCCTTCTTTGCCTGGAGCCTCAGAGTCACGATGCCTCGCATCACGTCAACAAGGAACAGAAAAAAAAGGAACGGGACGTTTTGAAAAAAAACAAAAAGGAAATGAAAAGGTCTAAAGGTCTAAAGGCTCTTCAGACTTGATTCTCACACTGCCGTAGCTGTGTAGCCACACCCAAAGATACAAGTAATATCTCCCTGCCCAAAACTGCGGCCATCACTCTTGCAACTGATCTGTGAAGGTGGTGTACCTGGTCAGCCAAGCTGCGATATCGCCCTCACTACAGAAGCCGATGCATGTGCGTCATGCCCTGTCAATCCCTGTTGCGATTCACCAAAAGGGGCAACTCTGAAGTGTAGAGAAAAGGGGATTCCTCTACGACCGCTGTCTGCCGGTGGAAATCCCCTGAGAGACGTAAACTCGACTCACATCGCCCTTTGTTACTAGTAGCATACTTGCTACTAGTAGTAAGGCCAGGAGCTACTAGTAGCGTCCTTGCTCCTAGTAGCGATGCCCTCTGTTACTAGTAGCAAATGTTTGTCTAAAGTTGCAAATTCTATCTTGCTCACCCTGCCCGGCTCTAAATCTAGCGCACTTTTTTCATGAATGCATCTTTCGGGGTGTTTAAGGCTCCTTTCAACAATCCTCGCAGACCTTCATGAGATCGAAGTATCTCAAGGCTTCAGACTGTTTGACTTTGTGGACACATGAACCTTTATAAGAATTGCCACGTCACTAGCCCGAAGGTGTTCTATTCTCCAAGCTCCACGAAACTTACAAGGCAGATACATCTACAGTTGTCAGCATATAGAGCCTTTAATTTGGTTCTTGGCCTTGAGGAGTGCAATCAACAGTTCTCACTTCTAGCGTGAGTATGCCTGAGAGTGTCTGTGTGTGTGTGTGGGTGTGCGGGGTGCTTCTTTCTTTGATGCCCTGGAAGACAACATGAATGCCTTCGGGAAGCAACAATACGGCAAATACATCATGTTTCACAAAATGCATCCTTGAACACTCAGCACTGGGTAGCTCCCGACTCGGCAGCAGCACATGCATTGCTCGTTTGTACGCTTGTGTGCTTCTACGTGACAAGTCGACTAACACTACAGGCAGTGCCGTAAAACCAAGCATTGATGCGAGAGTTGCTGAAAGAGGCAGGACAACACTCACCAGCCACCAGCCCTCAAGAGCCGCACTGATCAATGGCTTTCTTGTTGACGTGCTCAAATTTGCTCAGGCCCTGTCAGAACGCTGACAGCTGTTGAGTCCATTCCACTGGTCTACATCAAAGGGGTTGCCTCATCGTGTACAGACCTCCAAACAAACGCGGATGCATACTGGCCACACACCGATGCCGGAGCACGATCTGCTCCCCTATGAAAGTTCTGGCTTACGGCATATTCTGGTCCCTATGCAACGAGGTGCGTGAGCACTTCACCCAGACTGACTGACCTTGTCATGTGTGACCATGGTGCGTCAAATCCCAGCCCTGCTCAGAGTTATTGGTGGACCGACAAAAGACAGGACCAGACAGAAAATCCTTCACATCGTCACACATAAAATCCCTTGCCTTCACTTCGCTACTAGGAGCAAGGGCATCGCTACTAGGGGGCTCCTGGCATCGCTACTAGGAGCAAGGACGCTAGTAGGTTGGAGGCCATCGCTACTTGTGTTTTTTGAAATAAACTACAGTAGCTATGCTTGTCTCGTTGATGCTTCGCATGTTGAATCTCACTTTGCCTTGTTCGTCTTCTCCAGTTGCTTCATGAGCTGCTGAGGTGTCATCTCCTTGTACCTTCAGTGTCTGTGCACGAGTACAGGTCAGAACGTCCATGCTTCAGCATTTCCTATGCAATATTCCAGCTTCAAGGACAACCAATCCTCTTTGTTTAGAACAAACAAAAAAGAAGCAGGTCACAGTCGGGAAGAGGCCGGGAAGACTGGCAGGTCACAGCTTCCCAGCCCGTCGGTGGCGCACTTGGCCATGTCCGTGGAGACCACGGTCAGGCCTCGAAGCTTCTCGTCTGCATCACCCTTCCGTTTCACCAGATTGTTCACCTGGCGGAACAAGCAGCTCACCTACTTACCTGGTCCTATCTTTGTTTTTTTTTCTAGACATGCCACGACTCGTCTTCCTCCAAGTTCCATTTGATTTAACTTGAACAAATCAACAAATTCATACAATATCATGTACTTTGAAAGGCGTGTGACTTCAGTTACTTCAACCGATCAGCTGCGAGTTGGCCCACATTTCAGTCTGTCTGGACTGATGTCGGGTGCCGGAGTCTGGTCGGACAGCAATGGCTAGAGTTGGAAGGGCCCCAGGAATCGTCACTATGGCAGTGAAGCTAGGAGGAAACTGTACTACCAGCCCCTGTGCATGCCCACATGACAAAGTGACCTTGACACTGAGACTCCAGCATGTATACTATGCACATATACCGGCCGGAGTTCATTCAGCATCACCAGCTTTTTCAATAGGCCAAACATGCTCAAGCAATGATGAAGTGCCAGGTCAGTAAGTCAAGGTTTGGCCAATCTTTCTGACATGATCTTCTGACATGATCTTGGAAAAGGTGCCTGCTGTAGTCCAATAGCCAAACCGAGCGATAAGCCCAATATCTGACCCAGCAGCAAGAAGTCGTTAGCTTTCATTAGCGTCAGATTGTCATTGGCTACGGCTAAGGTAGGCAACATTGGCCACAATGCGCGGCTTTGGCCACATTACACGTGTCCTGCATCTTGCAGGACTTTGCCGCCTTTCCCACATAATCTCTTATGTCTTCCTGAAGAGAGCACCTTCCAGGAACACTTTCATTCTAATCTTGCTAAAGTACCATCTGTCCGTCCTGTGAAACAAGAGCACAAATGGTTGTGTTTCAGCACTCCGTCCCAAACTTCGTGAGCAAGGCGTTGCACATGGCGCCACAGCTGCGCATGCATCTACGATCTACATTAACATTGACCAGCCAAAATCCTGAAGGCTGGGAAATGAACCTGCATTTGGTCTGTCAGTCTGTCTTTCACTTCCAAAGAAAATGCTGAAATCAAGTTGGTACGTACTCCCTAGTTGTAGACTGTAGACCATCAAGATCCAAGTCATTCCAAGACCAATGCCGATAATTCGAACATGATGCACAACTTTAGTGCAGCATGTGGTTCATTTCCTCATTATTGGATTGATATGATACAGCAGTAAAAGCGATTGTTCTTTGGCAGTTCAGTACCCTTCAGTTGTTCAATATCAGTGAGATCACATGCGCGAGTCGTGTAGCAGGGAGTCAAAGCGGGCAACAACGACAGGACCACCACCACTCCGCTTTCCTGACCTTGATGGAGTCTTGCTTGGCGAACTCGGAGCGGAAGTACCACCCGAAAGAAGTGCCTCCAACTGCGCCACGCGCGTCTGTAAGGCCATTGTTTTGCCTGGTGAATGGCACTCCCACAGGTGGAATCTCAAAATTATGTCACATCAAGCAGCAAATATACACAAGGATTGCATTGGACTAAAAGGTGCCCTTCACATTAGATGGGCAGCTCCAAGCACAGTGTAGGTACAGTAGACAGGCAGTACACCGTAATTAATATGTTCCATTTTCAATTATTGCAGTAGTGCTTTGTGCTTACATCTGTGTAACAATGACACTTTCAATCCTTTCCAAGCTGTTTTTGCCATTTGCACGTTAGGCCTTCCAAAGCTCGTGCAAGCTTTTGGACAGGACGCTCTTGATTTTCATCGTCCTAGCAAGGGTGATTCCAACTGGCCAGTTATAATCAGCGATAGTCGACGTTTGGATGATTTTGAGGGGATCTAGCGGGATCGGGAACTCGCCTGGCCCCCCACTCCTCTGCTGGATCAGCTTTAAAGTCCAGCAGGAGCTGTGCCACCTCGCCATGTCCACAGCTTGCGGCGATGTGCAGCGGTCTCCGTTCAATGAAGCCCATAAAGCTACAGCCTCAGAGGCAAGACAAGCCAAACCACTTGCCCGGCTATTGTCACAGATTGACGGTCAAAACTGGAGCCTTCAACGTCCTAATGCAATTAGGCAGCGCGGGTCACACTGGTGCACTTCCAGCAAATGGCGTGCAACATTGATTCGATTGAAGTGGCACGCCATGCACAAAGTTGAATGTAGCAGTCGCTCTGTCACACTCCCTCTATCAGCCAACTTGCAAAGTCTCACAAACTCATTGAGTGTCATCATCACCTCGGCCGTCGGAGAACACCAAACGGGCAAACCCGCACATGGTTCTCAAAAAGCACCATGATCATCGGTTCTGAAACACCGAAAATGCAAATCAATCAATCAGCGAAACACTGAACATGCTGCAAATTGCAGCGTTGTTGTGGTGCTTTCAACACGATGATCTTTGCACTTCTGCGTGCACCATCTTCGTTGTTGGACTTTTTTATCGCAGCTCCAACTGTTGTTCTGGGTGTTACCTTTGCAGAAGTTACTGTTGCAATGTTTGCAAGATGAATTGATGATGCTTCTGCATGCATCAAGCTGCTGACTCCGTTTCCTTCGGCAAGTACAGAGGGGATTGGGTGTTGACCTGCGCTGTAACTAGGAACCTCGTGCGCCAAGGTAAAATCAGCAGATCAGCGCCCGCGCACTCATAGGTTTTGTTTCTGTAGTTAAAGAACAATGTTCTCTACTTGCTTTTCCCCTCCCGTCCTTGTTGTGGCTTCCAGCTTGTACACACCCTGAGTGAAGGGTTGGTTTGCGGGTTTAGTCTTATGATGTTGCCGTATGAATGTCCGAGAGGAGGACCTTACATGCTGGCTGAAGTTACGAGTTACAACCACTGCTGATTGTTTCTCTGGCACATGTTGGATCTTTCGGCCATGTGCCATCCTGGTCCTGGCCATCGGACTAGTAAACACATGTCCAGCTCCAGTATCGCCGTCTCTCCGGATTAAAGAATGGCTCCGAACACAGGCAGGGTGGGGTAATGACCGCTGTTTAACTGTCTGCCCATCTGCTGCTCCCCCAAAAAAAGGTTTAACAAACATCCAACGCAGTCGATCCTTGAGTTTCGCCACTGGCAAACTAGATTCATGTTCGCCTCCAGCCAAGATATGGGTGTCACCAACCTCTTGTCCTCTCACACACACTTCGACAATTGTATTCAGTTAACTCAGTTCCCACGCTGGGAAGGATGGCGGTGGAACAGCATGGTGAAAGGTCCAAAGACTTGAAGGTGCTTTAACATTGAGGTTTCTCATCTGCAGTGGTGCGACGACGACGCGCG